TTAATGTCCCTCAGCTTTTAACACTGACTCGGACTGTCAACTGGCTAGTAATTCTCACATTTTGATGAAATATTTTTGGGTTCTTTGGACTAAAGATGACCGTTTAAATTTTTAGAACCTCGACTGATTTAAGCAAATACTACAAAGACTATGTTAACTTCTTTTTAGGTGGTCTGTCGATTGCCGTGCCTGGCGAGGTACGCGGTCAACACGAAGCCTGGAAACGATATGGCTGGTTGCCATGGAAACAACTCGTTCAACCTGCCATCGATTTGGCCAGAAATGGATTTGAAATAACAAAAGCTGTGGACGATGCTCTGAAAACGACAAAAGGAATCGAACAGGACATTAGAAATGATCCAGGATTGAGGTCAGTTCATATCACCTGCTAACTCAATTACAAGCAGCAGAGAATAAAGCGTAAGAGAGTTAATGCCCTTATTCCTAAGGTAATCCTTCTCAAGTTATTTTTAGCTGTGTTACCTAGTGCAAGCACGGATAATGTTACCACCCGCGTGCTGCGTTTTCGGGAAAAATTCATGTAAAGCTGCTGGGGCCGTCCCGGCACGTGAACAAAATACACGTGACTGGATGGATTGATCCTAGGATTTCCAAAACCGGGAGCTGGTGATCTAAAAATAAATTGAGGATTACTTGAGAAATAAAGCCTATATTGGGGAGTATCTATTTTCCCTTCATCTTCTCTTGGTTACAAGATGGCCTAANTGAAATAACAAAAGCTGTGGACGATGCTCTGAAAACGACAAAAGGAATCGAACAGGACATCAGAAATGATCCAGGATTGAGGTCAGTTCATATCACCTGCTAACTCAATTACAAGCAGTAGAGGATAAAGCGTAAGAGTGTTAATGCCCAGTGTAGCCCTTATTCCTGAGGTAATCCTTCTCAAGTTATTTTTAACTGTGTTATCTAGTGCACGCACGGATCATTGCAATGTTACCACCCGCTTGCTGCGTTTTCGGAAAAAATTCATGTAAAGCTGCTAGGGCTGTCCCGGCACGTGAACAAAATACGCGTCACTGGATGGATTGATTCTAGGATTTCCAAAACCGGGAGCTGGTGATCTAAAAATAAATTGACAAGGATTACTTGAGAAATAAAGCCTATAAAGGGGAGTATCTATTTTCCCTTCATCTTCTCTTGGTTACAAGATGGTCTAATGCAAATCTAAACATACTCTTAGTAAATTTCATGCATGAGGGATGTCACATGTGTAAAAGTTCTGAATCTTACTTCGTTCTC